TTGCTCCTGCCCTGCTGCCTTTCTTGGAGCAGCTTGAGCAGGGCCTGGGGGACCTGTCCATTTTACAAGTTGGAAGCCCAGACATACTGGTCCTAAAATCAGAGAGAACGTTACCAAAGACTAAATGCATAATGGTTTCTCATCAACTTCAATTAGAGGAAATGTTAATATTTATAAAATTTCACCACATTTGAAATGAATTTGAAGTCTAGAGTTCCCCATTCTAGAATAATTTTGCAACAGTCATGACTTTTACAGAGAAATCACAACCAACTATAATTGAGTGAGCTAGATAATCTCAAAAGCGATATTACCGGAATCATTTTCAATTTTAATAGCAGAAATCACATTCACCATAGCCTGTGATGGACTTCAGTCCATTTGCTGCTGGGTGCGGCTGTGGTGTGCTGGTAGATGTTTGACACCTGGCTCCGAGAGAGGCAGGGCCAACCTTGGTATCTGGCACAGGCCCTTTGCACGGCATCAGCTGTGGCAGAGTCTGTGCAGCAGTACTGTAAGGCAGCTTGCAGGAGCCAGAGGCGCAGCAGGCTCAGGAGCAGATGGTGGCACCGTGTGTTGACGTACCTGGGAAGCAAGAGCCTGAGCATAGCCCTTTTTAGAGGAGAAACACCTTTAAAAGTTAGACTGTTTTTCAATCCAGTTTTAGTTTCCCAGCAGAAATGAGCACACAGCCTTCCACCCAGACTCGCTGGAGCAGACGTGCCTTCTCCATCATTAGCCTCCCCAATCAGCCTGCCACACTCATCAGAGAACCTGCAGGATGTGGTCAGCGTCTCCCCACGTCCCGCTCACCACAGGGCCATGTTTTAGGGTCATGTGTGCTGGACTTGCTGTCCCAGGTCCTCTGCACCCGCCTGTCCACGCCTCCTCTTCCCAGCCCCCACAGCTGCTGAGCTTTCTCCCCCCCACCCTGCTGTCTCCCCAGGATGTGGTTGGCAGAGCCAGGCAGGCTTTCAGAGGGCTCCTCTCCCGTGGCCACTGGTTCTTAAGATCCCTTCAGGTCTTCCGTGGCCTTATTCTGACGAAGCACACAACCTTCAGCTGTGACTTTAACCATTCTTAGGTGTGCAGGGGCCTGTGTGCTCAGTGCCCGTGGCCATCACCGCCACCCATTTCCAGAGGTTGCCATTTTATGATGGAACTCTGCGCCCTGTAAGGAACAAAGCCCTGAGCGCCTTAGGCAGCAAGTGCCCGTCCCCTGCCCCTGAAAGCCAGCTCTGCCTCTGCGTCTGCTTTCCTGCTGCTGTCTCGTGGAAGTGGTGCTGCAGTGTCCGCCTCTTGCCTAGCTCTCCTCTGGGCTCAGTGTCCTCAGGATCCAACCACCTTGGAGTGTGCACCAGTGTTTCCTCCCTTCCTCAAACTGAACACTGCGCTGCTGCACCGAGGGACTGCACCGGTCAATCCTGCAGCTGTGACTGTGGTGTGGAACTGCCCGTGTGAGCCCCTGCTTTCAACTCTTTGGGGCACACACCTTGGGATGGAATTGCTGGGTGAATTGCTCACTCTGTGTCCCATGGGGTCCATGTTGCTGGTCAACACAGATGTGTTGAGATAGGCTGATGTTGTCCTCCAGAGGTTAGGTGGTGATTACAACGTGATTATTGCATCGTTCCACATCATACACTGTATTTAAGTTTTGTGGTGGGCCACCTCTGGGACAGTGGGACAGAAGAGTCACCTCCTGCAGGACGCTACCCTGTTCTCCCCAGGGTGCTGTTCCTCTGCCCCGGCAGAGCCCCGGGCTCCGTGGGCCTGCTGGGGTTCACTGTTTTCCGTTTTGTGATGGTGGCCACCCTCATGGATGTGGAGCATCTCACCTCTGTCCTAATGTGTTCAGCTGTGAGATTGCATGGCTCAGCCTTTAATGATGGCTGTGCAGAATTACAGGAAGGGGAAGTGCCTCATAGTCAGCTCTTGCAGGATGGGTGAACGTGTGGCTGTTGTTTGTTTTCTCCCTTGGAGTTTGGTGACCTGAGCGTGCTTCTGGGCTGAGTTGGCCTGTGGAGTGGACGTCTCTCACGGAGAGGAATTGGACTCTGAGGGTGGTGCTCTCCAGGGCGAAGCCCACTGGTCTTGTCCATGGTCTGAGTAGCAGGTGTCCCTCCGTGCAGTGTCAGCCCTGGGGCCCAGAGCAGCCCGAGGGGCATGTGGACTGCACCACAGTGGCAGGTCACTATTGTTAGGTATCCATTGGAAGTAGGAACGTGAGGAGCACAGGACAAGGGACAGCATTGTGCTGTGGTGTGTGTCGGAGTGTGTGTCAGGGCACCCATATGTGCGAGTGAGGGTGGGCGTGTGATGGGTGTTGTTCCTTTGGGAGTCGGCACCATGTTCACGCGAAGCCTGGGAGCCCGTTCCTCCCACCAGCACTCCTGCGGTTGGAGTGTGCAGCTGGTGGCTGACGTCACAGCCCCTGTCACATTTTTGTTTGGTGAGTTTATTTTTGTTAAGTACTTTACTGTTTTCTTTTATGGACTCAGAATTGCAGAAATCCAAGGAATCTGCCCCTTGACTTAGTTTCTTGCTGGAGCAAACAAAATACTACTGACACGAAGCTGGGGAAAAAATCTCAGCGTGACATGTCTCCGTCTGTGATCCCCATGGAATTTCACCTGGCCTGGTCTGCGACCACTGGGACCTGGCCTCCCGAGCTCTGGCTGACCCTGTGCTCCCCAGGGATCAGTCACATTCCAGAACCAAAAGCCTTCCTGGTCTAATCTTTCTAAGTCTCAAGGGACTCGAGTTATGTACGTGACTTGTGAGAGTCTAGCTCCCATGTGCCCCATCCTGTGCTGGTGGTCCCGTGTTGCCTCCACTCTGTAGACCCCACACACTTCCATCCTTGGAGGCAGTGAGGCTGGCAGCCCAGTGCAGAGGGTTTTGTTCAGATGGCTCCTGTGCCGTCCCCACGGTGACATCCAAAAGGCAAGGCATCAGGGCTCTCTGTCTCCCCCTAAGAACAAAGATCTTGTTGTGCTATTACTTCTAAGAGGATTGCAGGGTCCCAACAGCACAGAATTTCAGAGACTTCCAGGTCATTTAACGCACGGTCCCCTCCCTCAACAGGCACCCAGAGACGTGGATGGGCCTCAATAGCAGGCTGACCCTGGCTCCGCCTGGAACCTCTGCTCCAGGGCGTGGTAGTGCACATCCTTCCAGAAAAAGTTGGGGTTGAACTGAAATTAAAAAGGGGATGGCAGTGACCCCGTCCTTCTCATCTTGAAAGTCCTGGCTGGTGGCCAGGAGGCAAATAGACAGCACAAGCCAGCTCTGAAGCTAGGACCACCCCTGAATGCTGCTACGTGTGGTGACACTCCACTGTGGGGGACCTGCCCTGGGCTCTGATGGGGTAGGCCCCAGGTGCCCTCCCGCTGCTGGGGCTGGTTCTCACGGCTCGCGCCTGGGCCAGGGCTTGTGCTCATGGCTGTGCCATCCTTGTCCTGGCACACTTGTGGTCAGCTAAAGGCCTGAACATGGGTCTCCCCATAGCTCCTCCTTGCCCTTGTCCTCAGGGTCCACAGAGGGGCCTAGTGCAGGGGACATGTCACTCCTGGGCCAGAGGCGAGAAGAGCTGGGCTCTGTGTCCCACGTTAGGGTGAGATGTGGGAGGGTATGGCTTGACCAGAGCCAGGGCATCACTGGGTGTGGACCCCGATGGGCAGGCATTGGGGCTGGGGGAGGAACAGCCTTTGTGGTCCTGGGAGGCCCAGTGCTAGCCATAGGTGGGGCCTGCGGACCATCACGGCTCCCCTCTCCTGCATCTGGGGGAGCAGGCCTTCCACTGCCCGGGCCCAGCATGGCCTTCATCATTACAGTTCAGCAGTGGACCCCGTGCTGTTCATCTCAGAGAAGGCTGGCTGCGGGGACCCAGCTGGGCCTGGCAGAGCGGCTGTGTTGAAGGCTCTGCCTGTGGGCCCTGGGGTTTTCCCCAGTCCCTGCCATGCTGGATGCCAGGCTGGGGTGCGGTGGGCTCTGCTGGAAGCTGAGTGGAGGGCCCTGGCAGGACCATGGAGGTGGGGCAGGTCCCTGACGGCAGCGCAGGACTGCTCTGTGTGGAAGACAGAATGCACTGGGTTCTTCATGGAAATACATAGTTACTTGGGTTTTATTGGTGGGTGGTGAGATCTGGATATAATTTTAATACCAGTTTCAGTTAAAATTCTTTATCCTATTTTCAGTCTGTGTCAACCGTGGTGACCCACATTGGTCCAGAACCTGGGTCCCTAAATAGCAGGGTGCAGATAAGGTCTTTGTTAGCTCAGGAATGCTGCAGGGAGCAGAGGGGAGCCCAGGAGGCCCCCCTAGCCGTGGATTTAGGCCAGTGGACAAAACCTGCAGGTCTAAGGTCAGATCCCAAAGATCTGCCCTGCCCCCCCCCCCACCCCTGGCCCCAAGGCCAAATCCCAGGGACTGTCCCGGGACTCTTCCTGCTTGGTGAGGCCTGAGAGTGGTGCCAGAGACCTTGGAAGGAGGCCCTGCGTCTCAGGGCGTTCTCCACTGTCCTGCTGACCCAGGCCTGCCTTCTCTGCTGGCCCTCGGGGAGAAGGAAGCCCCACTGTGGCTGGTGCTGCTGGCAGATTGTGCCTGGCATGCTTTTCGTAGGTCGGCTAACGGGGGTGCGATTCTCCCTTCACTGGAGGAAACTGAGGCTGGGCAGTCTAAGGCATGGTCCACGAGCAGGCAGCTCTGTGCTGGTAGCTGAGACTGCTGGGCCAGCTCCTTTCCCATGCAGCTTCCCTGCCGGACTGGCCTCCATCCCCTGGAAGTGGCTCAGCGTCTAGAGGGGTGGCAGCCCCAGTGGGAAAGGTGAGGGAGGAGCCCCAGGGAAGGGCTTCAACCTCCAGGGCAGGCTGGAGACCTGGGCTGCTTAGCGTAGTCGGGCTGTGCCTGGGTTGTGCCTGTCCCTGCTCCCACGGTCCTGGGTGGCGTTTGCACGGGGATGGCCCAGGTCTGGATTCATTCTTGAATTTCTGTTCCAGGACATCACCTGGCAGGACGAGCACTCTGCTCCTTTCTCCTGGGAAACTCGGGTAAGTTGGCTAAACTTAGATCCGTCCCTTGAAGCAGAATTGAGTAGTTCACCCTTTTCTGCAGCATTGGATGGACATGGGGAGCGGGGCCCACACCGGCTGCAGGCAGCAGGCAGCCCATTGTGGTAGGGAGGAGAGGTTGTGAAAAGCCGGACACGTGTGCAGTGGCAGAGTGGTAGTCGGTCTGATAGCCTGGGCCCATAAGGCCCTGTGACACCCCTGATGCCCAGGCTTGGGCTGCCCTGTGGGGGCCCTTCTCTGCCCATCCCTCTGCCCACCAGCACTTGGCACCACAGTGGGGGGCTGGTGACACAGCTTTGAACCTGTGGTGGGGTGAACTTAGCTAGTTGGTTCGTGGCTGATAGAACCCAGTGTGGGCGGGGGCCTGGCCTCCAGGCACCGGGGTCTCCATTGCCAGAGTGGCTCAGGAGCAGGGGTCCAGATGGTCTCTGTGCCTTGCCTTCAGCCGTCTTGCTGCCCCAGAGGGACAGGGGCCCAGTGACTATAGGAGCTGCCTCTCACACCAGGAAAAGAAGCGGCAGACAGGCTGTGTGCCGGTGGGTAGTGGCCATAGCAGCGTGTGCGAGCAGAGGTGGCTGTGCCTGGGCGGGTCCCAGCTCACACTGGGGTTTTCAAGTGCTGCTACTTCAAGGGGCCTGTGTCACTTGTCCCCACAGCTTCTGATCAGAGCCCTGCCCTGGCATCCAGGAACAGCTGGGAGAATAGGTGGGGAGAAAGGAATGAGGAGTCCTTGAGCAGACTGTGAGGCTTCCGCTGGGAACTGTCCTGAAATGAACCATTTCCCCAGGTGCTGGGCAGCTGGCAGTACGCTGTTCAGTGTTTAGTGAGCAGCTGCTAACTGCTACAAATGCTGGCTGACCAGACCATGCAAACTGGGTGCAGCTGAGGTATGTTTGCACTGAATCACATCCCCAGCCCTTTACTTCTAAGTTGCTGAGGCTGGCCTCAAACTTGGGATCCTCCTGCCTCAGCCTCCTGAGTTGCTGGGATTATAGGTGTGTGCCATGGTGTCCTGGAGATTATTTTTAAACCTTAGAGATAGGTTTGGGGGTTGTATGACATGCGCTCACTGGAGCATGTTCATTTGGAAAGTGTAGGTTCCCTTTGCCATTGACACTACCGCACCAGGCCCCAAGCATCCTAAAGATGCTGGCATCTACACCCTGCACATCTTTTTCAAAATTTCATTGTAGATTAGTGCAGAACGCAGGTCCGTGCAGAGGGTAGGGAGTGGGAGTGGTCTGATGGGAGCCAGAGCCTGCATAGGGACTGGCACTGGTGGAGGGTGACCAGGGTTGGGCTGGGTGTCGGGGAGCAGCCTGGAATGACAGTAGCTGCCACCCACATGGACCTGTCTCCCGAGGCCACAGAGCAGGCTGGGTGGCCAGGCAGCCCTTCCGCACCCTGGTGCTCAGCCAGGCCCTCTTCTTCCTCTTCTGTGGCCACAAGAGTGGCAGGAGCATCTGCAGGGGAAGCTGTGGAGGGAGGAGCAGGGGCTCTGTCAGGAGTGCCAGCCTCGGGCATGGTGGCCTTCCTTGTCCTGTTCTGGGCCCTTGGTCTGGTGACACGACAGGGTGAGGCAGACGAGGCCAGGCATCCAGAGGTGCTGGCCGAGGTCTCATGGGCCCGTGGAGCCCCCCACTGTGTGTCCTGGAGCCGCCCAGGGGACAATCACCTTCATTGCCCAGTGTGATGGGCGTCCTGGGGCACAGCGGCCACTGACCTGGGCTATGCAGAGCTCTCCCCAGCCGTCAGCGTGTTAGGTGAGCAGCCCACATCCTGTAGCCACCCCGCCGTCCACCTCCAGGATGCCTTATTGTAAACTGCATGTGTTGTGGGGTGCAGCGTGGGGTCTTGTGCGTTGTGGGGTGAGTTGAGCTAGTGACGTCCCCAGAGCTCTCCACCTTGCACAGCCGACGCTGCCCTTTAAACAGCAAGTCCCCAGCCCCTCTTATTCCCACAGCCCCCTGGAAGGGTCATCTTTTCCTCCCGTCCTTCGGCCTGGCGGAGAGCCGGGGAGGGGTGGTACCCCACCCGCTGCATTCTTCTCTCATGCTACTGAAGTTTCAAGAGGAAAAACCAGCGCCCAGTGCTCCTGGAGGAGGCCGGAGTGCAGAGGATTCCTTGCATTCCCTGGCCGCCTGGGCTGGAGGGTCTGGAGATGCCTGGGGGGGCTGGGCAGGCAGAGCTGGCCCCAGGACCCTCAGCCTGCCCAGGCTGCCTGGCTTATTTGTGTCTGCCCGGGTGTTCAGCTCTCTTTCTGGGGGTGGTAAGCGAGCTGGGTGGGGATCCGTTCCTTCATTCTGAGGGCCAGTTAGGGCATCCAGAGTAGGGAAGCCTTCCAGGGCCTCCGTGGGGCTGCAGGCTCATGTCCTCCGTGGTGTGTCCCAGTACAGGGTTGTGCAGGCTGGGTTCAGTCGCCCGTTCCTTCCGTTGGTCAGCACGCCACAGTTCAGGGGAGGCAGTCAGGGTGGATGAAGAGAAGGGAGCCTGGGTCTGTCTGAGGCTTGCACCATCTGCTGCTGGCGGGGAAGGGGCCTTCCCTCCAGGTAGTGGGTTCCTTTGCTTCCAGGGGTCAGGAATACCCAGGTACCACACATGCTCAGAAGTTGTACTTCTGCAGAAGATGTCCCCAAAGGGAACCTGTGAGCAGGCACACCTGGGCAGGCAGTTCCCCAGGGTTTGTCCCTAACGAGCCTCTGCCCCTTGCTCTGACAGGAAGGGCTCGGGGATGGTCTACACAGTTAGCTGATTTAAAGTCAGGGTGGGTATGGGAGAGGGCCACAGCTGGGATTGGCTCCTGCCCACGAGGTTTTGATACAAGCTGGCTCTGCCCTACGCGGGGTCAAGTGACAGCAGAGGAGCCTGTGTCCTGTTGCAGGGTCAGCTTCTATAGGAGAGGTGATCTTGCACAGGTGGTGGCTTTGTTTGGCTGCACCCCCAGTGTGATCCTCTTCACCGACAGTCCCCATCTCTGCCCTGCAGTCCCCTCCTCTGCCTGTCCCTCCCTCCTTCCCTCTGGGCTCTCCCTAATCCCTTCCTGAGGCCCAGGGCCCAGCTCCCAGTCCCCTGCCCTTGACCTCTCCCCAGGCTCCCTGATCCCTGTGGTTCCACCTGCTCTCTGGCCCCGGAAGCCACCAGTCTGTCCTGCAGCCCTCAGCCTGTGCTGCCCTCCTGCAGGCCAGTTCCTCCTCACCTCCTCGCCTGCCCCCAGTGCTACCCAAATCCTGATCCTGGTCGCCGTGCTGGGGCTCCCCTGCCGTGCATCACTTGTGCTGAGTCCTGTGGGTGCGTGCCCGAGGCCCATGGGCAAGGGCAGGCAGTGCTCCTCCAGGGCTGTGTGCCCACCTGCTGCAGCCCCTGTTGCCCCTTCTCCTGTTACCCCAGGAAGTGCCCAGGAGAGAGGCCAGGGCTGGTGTGCCTCTGTCCCCGTGAGGCTCAGCCCCTAGGTGGGCACACCATGCCCCAAGGTCAGCTGGGCTGTGTGGCCCCAGTGAGGGCCTCTTCTGCCCTCTCCCGCCTGCCTCTGCACACCCCAGCAGCCTGTGCCCTTTGCCTGGTAAACACACTGGCATGTGGTATTTACACCTGGACCCTGCTAGGCCCTGCCCACCTGGGTCTGGCCCCGCTGGCCTGTCCCTGTTGGGCTGTGATTCTGAAGGTTTTCCTATGTGCCTCCTGCTCCTCCCGTCCTTGCCTGTGTAGAGAGGAGGTAAGAAGAATAACAGCTCAGTGAGGTTATAGGATCTGTCCAGCGCTGCGATACTGTCCAGCCGCACCCCTGTAGCTTCGTCCCTGTGAGTGAGGCCTGTCGGAGGCTGCCAAGCCCACTAGTTAGTTTTGGCAGCGGGCACACCCCTTGCTGGAATATCGCGCATTCCTCTCCAGTGAGTGGGACATAAAAATAGACACAGCGCTCTGTTGTGGCCTCGCTGTTTTTAGAAGAGACGTGGCCCGCTGAGCCCTGGTCCCCATGTGGGCTGACTGCCGCCCTGCCCAGCTTGGCCGGACTCCTCAGGGTGTGGAAGGTGGGCTGAGAGTGGAGGGGCCTCCTGTTCACTCTCCCGTCTCCCTGTGTGGAGGTAACAGAGAACAACTGTGTTGAGTCCCACGCTGTTCCGCCTGTCGCAGGTACCAATGACCAGTGGTGTCCACTGGCCACCAGCTCCTACGGTTTTCCATGCAGTGTTGCCCATGCTCGGAGAGGCTGTCATGACCTCCTTTCCCCAGGACCCAGCTCTTTTCCTTTGTCTGGAAAGGGACTTGTTCCAGAGATGAGGAACTTGTCTGCGGATTCACAGTCTTCCCATTTCCCACCTCCTCTCCCAGCCCTGCGCTTGCCAGGGGCCTGGGGCCAGGCAGAGGAGCCGCTGTGGGTCCTCAGATGAGTGAGGGGCTGTTGCTCCAGCCCTGCTTAGTGAGTGAGAGTGGTGGTCCTGGTCCCTCCATGTGAGTGAGTGTGTTTGGAGGTTCCACCTGTGCCTGGCACACAGTAGGTGCTCACTGAGTGGCTACCTGAGCTGTTCTTCCTAGATGTGCATGGTCTGAGGTCAGCAAACCTCCCCTTCGGACCCCGAATTGTGGGACAGCCCCCGGATCCCCATGGATCCCCATCAGACTCTGGCTCCTCTCAGGCCTCACTCTGGTTCCCTGGGTGTGGTGCCTGTTGCCCCAAGCTGGCTTGGTGACCACAGGAATGGGGAGGGGAGGGCGTCCAGGGCCATGCAGGGACAGGGCAGGGTGCTGTGGGGTGTGCAGCTTCCTGAGGAGGAGCAGCTGGGTCTGGGCTGGAGAGGGCAAGTTGCCTCAGCTCCTTGGTGGGCTCTGGGAGGCACTCAGATGGCTCCCACCAGAAGTGGACAGCAGCCCAGGACAAGCCTGGGTCTGGGAGGGAAGGGCACTCCCACACGCGGAGTCACAGAGCAGAAGCCCGTGGGACTTGCTCTGAGATGGCAGGGGGCTGTGTCCACCTGGCCGACGGCTACACTGCCTGGCTGGGTGCGAGGGCCGCTGTGGGTGTCCCCATGAGCAGGGCCCCAGGGGACCCTGGGCTGGGAGGGGCGGCTCTCCACCCCCTTGGCCTTGCCAGAGTTCTTGCTGTGGGTCCTGGGGCTGCTGAGCTGGGTGGTCGCGGACCACACGGGAGGCTGTGTTTGGAAATTCTGGGTAACAAACCCAGATCCTGTGGGGTAGGGAGTGGGCCAGAGACCCTCTCACATGGCATGGTTTAAAGGGGATTGCAGCCATGCTTTGTTTTTAGAATTAAGAATACAGGAGAAGCAGGCATGTGAGAGCTTTTCTTCTGACTCCCTGTCTTCCCTGTTGACCTCCAAAGTCCCCAAACTAGGCAGCTGCTCGGGTCAGCCTGACCTCTGCCCAGATGAGGCCCTCCTGGGGAGCTGTCCCGAGGCCTCCGTCTTGAGGCCTCTGGGACCCGTGAAGCCCCAGGAGCAACCTGTCACTGCTTGTTTCTTCCCCACAGTGATGTGTCCTAAGAATGGCTGCCAATGGCCTCTGTCCACAGTGGCCTGGCTCAGCCTGTTGCTGCACCCAGGTCTGCAGACCCTCCGGCCTCGTCCTACACGGGCCAGAGAAATTGCTGATCCCAAAAGAGCCTGCGGTTCAACAAGGTGCTCGGTTTGAAGAGCCTTTGTACAGAGTTTCCTGGTCGTAGTGCCCCATCTCCATGGGGTAGGCCGCCTGTTTGAAGCAGGTCATCTGCGCACCCATGGTGTCCCCATGTTCTGCTGTGGAATTAAAAAATGAGCAGTGTATTCAGAGTCTCACTCAGAAGTCGTCCATTAAGGGCTGCATCACCGAGGATGGACATGCAGAGGTCCCGTGGGTCCTGCCAAGCTCTGCTTTCCCCGCACCTGGTGGCCACTGGCTTTGGGTCCATGCAGCCAGGCTTTGGGATCACTGGGTCAGGCTGAAGTCCTAGCGTACAGCTTCCTGATAGACTCATGACCTGGGGAATTGAGTCATTCTAGACCTCCATTTCCTCATTTATAGGATGAAAATAATTTAAAAACTGCACTCCATGTGCCCGGGGCATGCCCGGGATGTCCATGTGCTCTTGAACATGTCTTCTGCAGGGCTGGCTTTGATGGCTGTGTGTCGGGTCTATTCCTCCAACACCGAGCACCCAGGACCTTGCCTTGCGGTGTGAATGTGAGCTCTTTGTCTTCTGTCCTAAGCCCAGAGGGGTGACTCCTGGCCACCAGCCTGGGATCCAGGAGCACCTCCGTTCAGAGAAGTGGGCGGCTCTCTGTTCAGGGCCTGTTGTCCCCCTCGCTCTGGCAGCATGTCCCACCCATGGGGAGAGTCCTGGGAGACTGCAAGAACGTGAGAGCCAAAGAGGACATTTACCAAGTGCAGGAGCCCGTGTGGTATCTTGGAGAGCTAGAAGCGATTGGGTTGGCCAGATGGTTTGACTCACTCTGTGTCCACGCATGGCCAGGGCAGGGAGATGGGCTCCCTGGGAAGCAGATGGACAGCTGGTGTCCAGAACTGTATACCACCTTTGTGTGTTGGTTTTTCACTTCTGGAAACCTCTCCGAATGTGGCAGCCCAGAAGTGGGGACAGTGCCATGCACGCAGTGTCCCTGGCCCCCGACTCCTGCAGTGAGGACTCAGGAGAATGTTGTCTGAGCGGGAAGTGCTGACCAGGTGGCAGGCAGCTGGAGGAAACGCTGGCAGCACGGAGGGCAACGGCAGGCACCCGGCAGCGTGGGTGGTGCCCAAGACTGAGAGAAGCTGCAGGCTGGAGGCCCCCTCCTAGCACACGAGCTAGAGGGGCAGCATGCCTAAAGGTGGCTGTGGCGTGGGAGGGCAGGGGCTATGTTGGAGTCTTCTGTTTCCCCTGCTCTCTGTGACATCATTTTATTGCTTCTTTATTTATTCACTCTTTTGCAGAACTGGGGATTAAATCCAGGGGCACTCCACACTGAACCGCTGTCCCCAGCCTTTTTTTTTTTTTGACACAAGGTCTTGCTTAGGTCCTCGCTAAATTGCTGAGGCTGGCTTTGAATTCGTGATCCTCCTGCCTCAGCCTCCCGAGTTGCTGGGATCACAGGCGTGGGCCACTGCACCCAGCTTGCTTACTTATGAAAAGGGCAGGTATGAGGAAGTGGAGGTGGGGGCAAGGGGAATTTTCAGAATTGATTTCAGAAATGATGGGATAGCAGGTACCCTGTTCTGCAGAGCTGGGGACGTGATGGCCTCCAGTGGGCTCTTCTGGAGGTGGTGGCCACTGAACATTTCCCTAGAGTGAAACTCAGTCAGCTCTGCTTGGCAGCACGTCCCAGGTGGCTCTGGTCAGCGGGAGGCTGGGTCTCAGATGTGGCTGGTACCTGCCCTGCCCCTTCCTCCCCTGTGGTCACCATTGGAGGCTGGGTGGCAGGATGCAACCTGGCCCTCTGTAGGCCGCGTCCTTGCTCCTCATGTTCCTGGGGCCTCACCTGTGGGCAGCAACTCACAGGGCCTGCAGGAGGCTTGTGTACTGCTGGCCTCAGCCAGATTCGGACTCAGGGTCTTGGAGCTGCTGGCAGGGCCGGGCGTGGTGAGGCTGTGCCTCGAGATGGCTGTGTCTCGGGTATGCAAGCACAGTCCTGCAAACAGCCATTCAGGACATGGGCAGTGCACGGCCAGCAGCTCCTGAAGTGTCTGTCCAGAGCAGGGGAGGTGGTGAGGGGCTGACCGCCTGCTCCTTGCTGAGCTTCCATCTTCCTTCTCTTTGCAGAGCCAAATGGAGTTCAGCCTCTCCTCCCTGTGCCTCCAGGAGCCGAGCAGTGGCGCTCCCACCAGTGAGCTGAGGCCACTGCCCAAGGTCTCCCAGGGCCCACAGGCCCTCAAGCCCACCCAGGGCAGCAGGTCGTCCAGCCTGGACGCCCTGGGTCCAGCCAGGAAGGAAGATGAGGCGCCCTTCTGGAAAATCAATGCGGAGAGATCCCGGGAGGGGCCCGAGGCCGGATTCCAGTCGCTGACCCCCAGCCAGATCAAGTCCATGGAGAAGGGGGAGAAGGTCCTGCCTGCCTGTTACCGGCAGGAGCAGTGGGTCCTTCCCAGTGTGAATGTGGACCGGGAGAGACCACCGCCTGCCCAAGCCACCTCTGGCATGCTGCCCGAGGACCAACTCTCTGAACCCTTGGGGAAACCACTGTCCCTAGATACCACACAGGACGAGGACAGCGCTCTGGGTTCAGAGCCCACGCCTACACAGGTGGGCGGCCCGTGCCAGGGCCTCTTCTGTCCAGGTGCCTCTTCCAGGGGCAGCCAAGGGGGACCCCAGAGTATGGCTGCAGGGTGTCCATGTGGCCTTCCTCGCCCTGCTTGCCCTCTCGCTTGCCTTCACAGCTGGCTCCACCCCAGCCTGGTACTCTGACTAGTTTGCTGGCCATATGGCTCCAGCCCTCCCTTGTGGGCAGGTGGGGAGGGGCTGGGGGAGTCTGGGAGGAAGGGTCAGTGTGGGGAGGCTGGGAGGCCTGCCCTCTCCGTGGGGCCTGTGGCGTCAGGCCGTGGCTTTGGGAACAGCATCCCAAGGCCTGGAGAAGCAGGGGGGACCCGGGGTCGCTGCCCTCCTGCCTGCAGCACAGGCTGGGGTGTCCAGAGGAGGGATGAAAGAGGAGCTCTCCAGGGCGTGGACAGATGCAGAGGCCAGGTCTGCTAAACCCTCGGGGTGAGGTGCTGGGTGTTGGAGAGGGATGAATTGCTGGTGGCTGGAGTGTCCCTGACTCCTGGTAGGAGTGGCCCCTGTCATCTTTCCTGGGCAGTCTGTGACACTGACGAGGTGGAGACAGCAAAGTGAAGACGGAATGTTTGTGGCGATTCTAAATGACGCTAGTGTTGGAGGGTTGCTTGCAGCCAGGACGCAGAAACAGGGGAGCCTTTCTCTCCAGAGGAGGCTGGCTTTGGGGCATTGTTCACGAACAGTGCTGTGTTGTGAGCGGCTGGGAGCTGGCTCTGGGCATCACGGGTGGCCGAGGCCCCAACAGGGCTCTGTCGTCCATCCTTGAGATGGCCCTGCTCACCCCCTGGTGCTGTGCTGCCTGGTGATGTCTCCCTGGCTGTGACCTGCAGAGCCTCACTGGAGGAGTCCTGAGGGAGGACGGGAACAGGTTGGCATGGCCAGAGCAGGAAACGAGGGTCCTGGCCTCCTAGGAGTGTCCACCCATTGGTGCTGGCCGCACAATAGAACCTTATGGTGATGAGAAACGTCCTCAAACAGGTCAGCGCTCCTGCACACTCTCCACCGTGACCAGGCCTTTTCTCTGGGGCTGCCGTCCAGCTGTCTGATTTACCTGTTGGTCAGGATACAGGCACATGGAGAAGCCCACTGCACCCCAGCTGCTTTGCTGTGCGCCCCAGGGCGTGGCTGTTAGCAGTCAGGCCTCCTGGCCTTTGGGACCCTGTGGTCATCTGATGGTCACACTTTCTTTGGTTTTAAACATCTTTAAAACTTAAAACTCACACTGAAGTACACGGGACATGAGCACGTCATTCCTGCCCTTTCTGAGTGTGGGGTTCAGTGGCCCTGAGCAGTGTCAGCGTCATGCAAGCCCCCGCCTCCTCTGAACCAGAGCTTTCCTCAGTGCCCTGGGCCAGCTCACAACCAGACAGACTTGCTATGACACCCCCGCACCCCTGGAGACGCGGGCTGGCATTGAGAAGCTGCCTGGCTTGGTGACCGGCTTGCTTCACTTAGCGAGTGGCGTGGCCAGTAATGCCCTGCTGCTGTGGTCGCCCGGCATTTGTGGGCAAATGCTTGCTTCCTCCCTTTGCTGTTGGGACGTGGGTGGGCAGATCTTTCTGAGCCCCTGTTCTTTGCGTGCCTCCCAGATGCAGGATGACTGTACTAAGGATTGAACCCGGGGCGCTCAGCCGCTGAGCCACATCCCCAGTCCTTTCTTTTTCCTGACCCAGGACCTTGCTAGTTGGCTAGGGTCTTGTTAAAATTTCTGAGGCTGGCTTCAAGATTTTGATGTTCCTGCCTCAGCCTCCTGAGGGCACTGCCTGGGCTATCAGTGATATATTTTTTAAAAAAAATTTTTTAGTTGCTGTTGGACACAATATCTTTATTTAATTATTTTTATGTGGTGCTGAGGATCGAACCCGGGGCCTCACACATGCTAGGGGAGCGCTCTACCACTGAGCCCCAGCCCCAGCCCGCTATCAGTGTTTTTGAGGAGCCTCTCTGCTCTTTCCCATGGCGGATGCACCGTCCCACTGTCCCCCTAGCGCTTGTGAGGTTCTGCGTCTGCCCTTCCTGACTGGCACGTGCCTCTCACCCTGGCCACTAACGTGTGAGTGAGTCTTTCCTGAGCTTGGTGGCCGTCTCCTTGAAGAACACTAAGTTCCCTTGCTCACTTTTAAGTTGGGTGTTTGTGGTTTGCTGTTGGATCGAGGTGGTCTCTGGTTACTCTGGGTTTCCTGGAGGAATCCTTGATCCTTTGCGCCTCCTGAGGAGGTGCAGCCCACAGTTCCAGCACCTTCTCCCTCCCACGGCTCCACAGCCATCTCTGCAGGCTGCTCTTCCCAGCCTGTCCTCTGCTGCCCCACCTGGTCCCTGTCTCCAGTCCTGCGGGCTTTGCAGGAAGTGTTTGTGCCAAATGCCACCTGTTGGCTCTGACGGGAAGTAGGACGGCTCCATGGGGGCCCGGAGGCTTGTGGACCTGTGACGGGGACCAAGGCACAGACTGCGGCACCACATCCAGGAGGCAGGAGGGAAGGGAAGGGGATAGACCACACTGCTCCTTCCGTGGCATCTCAGGTGAGCACACCTGGCCTAAGACACGTGTCCCGGGAAGCCACTGACCTTGCCCAGCCTTTCCTGTGTGCTGCAGCACGTCAGGGTCACTGCCCAGCAGGCGGCTCCCCGCTGGACCCAGCTGACCCTGAGCGTGGTGCAGCAGGGGCCTCACCTGCTTTCCCAGGGGCCGCCCAGCCAGTGCCGCATCCCTGGATTGTCCCTGCTCTCAGAGACCCACTCCATGACCTTTCACTTCCCCCACTCGTGCACACTAGCCTTCGCAGAGTTCTTGCCTTCCTCTCTGCGTGTGTAAGAACATCTCTGTTCTTGCCGAGTGATGCAGAGGATTGTGCCACGCTGGTTGGCTCTGCGCACCTGTGCCGCACAGCCGAGTGGGCCACCGTGGGGCGCAGGTGGGGGTGCTGGCACTGGACTTGCTGTGCTGTTCTCAATTCTCAATTCGAGGTCAGGGCCCGAGAGGGAAGCAGGCAGCGTCATCTGGCCACTGTAAATGAGTTGCTGTTTTTAGCCCCACATCCGAGGGCTGCATCTCACTGTGCTCCTGTCTCTGCAGGCTGGCTCCAGCGTCATCCTGAAGACCGGCTTCGACTTTCTGGACAATTGGTAAATGGTGTCGGGCACAGTGCAGCCGGGAGCCGAGGTGTCCAGGGTGCTGTGCCCAGGAAGGGTTTGCAGCCTGTTTCCTGGTTTCACTACTATTGATTTTTTGGAAGCTGGTAAATTTGCCAGTTTTTTCTTCATTTTGTTAAAACCAGATATATATGCTATTTTCAACAATTTGGTAATGGAAGTTTTACATCTGGAATTTTTAAGGACCATTAGGAATTTAGTGGATCTTGTTAGTAAGCCCTTCCAGCTCTGCCCATGACCCTCGTCTCAGGAGGCCTCCTCACCAACGTCACCAAGTCCCCACCAAATCCTGCCTCCTGTTCGTGCCCTCCCTACGCAGCTGGTCTCCTTGGTGGTGGCTGCCACGACCTCGGTCCCTCATGTTGGCTGCTGCTGTTCCCACAGGAAGATCTGCCCTCAGGAGCTCCCAGTGCTCACAGCCCCTTGCTGGAGGCACATCCTGCACCATGTGCCACCCGCCACCTTGGGTAGCTTCCAGGAAACAGTCCGTCCACACGCGGTGGACAGCGTCCGTGAGCTGCCCATGGTCACTGAAGTATCGATCCTGTTTAACAAGAGCTGCGTGTCTGGAGTCGTGCGCCGACCTCCTGTTATCCGTACCTAGCTTCAGCAGCTGTGGGCTACCACGTTGCTTGGTTTTGTACCAGTTTCTTTTAGGAAGCTCCCAGCACTTATGTGACCTGCTACTTGTCCCCATGCTGCACATGAGTGGTCGGGGTGGCAGTGCTGCTGGGGCAGAGGCCCCTCTGATTCACTACTGCTGCTTTCCAGAGGAGACGGGCTGTGGCTGCCCACCCCCAACTGCTCAGGCTGCGTCAAGATGGGCCCTCCCAGCCCTGACCACAGTAGAGTGGGAGAGGTGGCTGGTGGCCCCAGCAGTAGTGCCCTGGGGCCCCACAGCACCCCAGCAGGGCTTGTCTGGGGCTGGAGCAGATTCCCGGGCTGTGTGGCAGGAGGGTAGACCCCAGCTGGAGGTCACTGCCCTCACTGTGCCCTGCCCTGTGCTCTGGCAGGAGGCGCCCTGTGCTGTGCCGTGCACACACCACTGCCACTGTGTCCCCTCACCTAAGGCCTTATTCCCTCGGACCCCTGCCAGCAAGCTTTAGGACCAAAGGGGGGCTTTTAAAAATACGCTTCCTAGGCCCTTCTGAAGTACTCTCCAGGACATCATCTGATTCCAACTGCCTCCACCCGCAGCAAAGTCTCTGCCAAAGCCATGGCTAGCAACTGTGCTGGTCCCCACCCTCGCTCTGTGCCCCAGGGCGGGGCGTGGGTTTTACCTCCCTCCTCTGGTCCCTGACTGCAGTGTGGCAGGTAGACATCCCTCTGTACCACGTGAGCATTTTTGACGCATCCCCCACCCCCACCCCCGCCAACTCAGCCCAGCTGGGCACCAGCCCCCTAGGGGCCAGCACTGTCACACAGGGAACCCAGGGCCTCCCCCCTGCCTGTACCTCCGCCTCAGGGTGGCGGCTGAGCTGGAGGCCAGGGTGCTCCTTGCTGTGGGGGTGCTTGCTGGTGTGGGCAGCAGAGAGAGGGCTCCTGCTGGCACGCCTGGTCAGCGATCTCTCTCCTTGCCAGAAGTCCCCCTTTCTTTCCAACTTTCCTGTGAATCTCAGCATTCCGGTCGTCCTCAGAGCTGAGGGGTGGAGCCTCTGAGGACTCCATGCTCTTGGTCCCTTTGTCTCAGCCTTGCAAGCTCTAGTTACTCTTGGGGGCCAGCCCCCCATAAGTGAGTGGAAGCCTCAGCAGGGAGTCCTGAGGGGTCTCGTGATGTTGGCTCTGCCTTCGGGAGAAGTGCAGTCCCCATCCTGCCTGACGGGTGACCATCCCCCACATGGGTGGTCGGTGCAGAGGCGACTTTCCCTCCCCCAGGTTGAAGCTCCCTGTTTCCACGTGCTTCTCCCCCAGACTCCAGGTGGGTCTGTCAAAGAAGGAGCTCATGAGCACACTCCCCAGCAGAAGCCTGTGTCTGGTCCTGCACCTAGGTCTCTGCTGAGGACCAGCGTCCTGCTCTCACTGCTTTTGCAGAAGCCCTCCAGGACATCAGAACCAGGGTCAGTGTCACGGGCCTGCTCCTGTCCCTCCGGCCTGGGTGTGGCCCATGGGGGGAGTGGAGCGGCCTCCCTTTGGTCCTCCTTCCTTTGATACACATTTTCAGAGATGATGAGTTCTTATAATGTGTAACTTGGTTGTATTTTATACTAATTGCCTTTAATAAAGCCTTTTTAAAAATGCCAGCCTGTCTGTCTTGGCCTCTGCTGGATCCTGGAGGCCTGTTGGGACGATGGTACTTGAACACAGGCAGGAGCCCAGGGCACAGTCTGGATATGGCCTCTGCAGCCTGCTAGAGCCGGGCGATGGCCACTGGGTGCCTGCCCGACAGGAGGGCAGCTCTGCCTGGGGGGCTCGGGCGCAGCCCTGAGTGACATGGGAGCCACAGCAGGGCTCCCAGGACAGGTCCAGCGCATCGAGTCTCTGGAATCTCTGGGACCCTGCAGAGCAAAAGCTGCCCCGGAAGCTTTCACTTGATTGAGTCAAATCTGGGGGTGTTTGTTTAGCTTCGCGGTTGAGGAGCTTCATCACAAAGCCTGGTCCTTCATCCTATCCCATTCATTAGAGTGCAAGCTTGAAGTTTTTCGCCACAGATGAGAGAGAAGTGTAGATGTCACTTTCCTCTATCAAATCATCCTTGGAGTCAGAATGTGTAAGCATGTTGGTGGGGTTGGCCGGCCTCTCCTGACTTCCCGGGGACACAGAGTGCCCTGCGTCTGGAGAGAGGATTCAGGGAGCCACCTGAGTGCTGGGGCTCCGTGTGGCCCAAAGCCTGGGGCCTCTTTCCACTGTCGCCAAGCCTCCTGGGTGGCTCCTGGGTTTGGGGCTTGGGGTCGCTTGGTGTGTGAGGTTAACATGCTCAGCATGTGTTGCTCTCCAGGGTGTCCTCCAACGCAGAGACAGCGCCTAGCTTACTGGGCACTCTGTAGCCAGGGAGGGAGACCATATCTGAGGGACGTTGCTGCCTTTTGGAGGCACCTGGGGAGTTCCTGGTGAGTTCTTTGTTATGAATGATGTTCCAGCTATCCTCTGGTGAGCTGGCCAGCTCCCCAGGTGCCCTGACGCTGAGAGGGTTCCCCTCAGGAACCCGTGGTTCTGTGTCCACCCACACTCAGGCAGAGAGCAAGCAGTCCTGGGCATACACTTGCCCCACCAGGAGCAGGGAGTCAATTGCCACAGTAAAGTACACACCTCAGGGTCCAACTGAAATTGTATTCTGTCCCAACCCTGGAGCTGAGGCCCCAGCTCAGGGTGCCCTAGCCTGGCCCCCGGCCCTCTCCTGGCTTGCAGACGCCCTCTTCCTGCTGTGTCCTCACGTGGCCATCCCTTTGCATGTGTATCAGGACACCAGTCACTGGATCAGGGACCCCAACCTTACATCTTAATTGCCCTTCAAAAAGCCCATCTCTGGGGCTGGGATTGTGGCTCAGCGGTAGAGCGCTCGCCCAGCACGGGCGGGACCCGGGTTCAATCCTCAGCACCACATAAAAAAAGAAAATAAAGGCATTGTGTTGTGTCCATCTACACCTAAAAAATAAACATTTTTTTTTTAAAAAAGCCCATCTCTGCAGTCGCATTCTGAAGTCCTGGGAATTAGGGCTTCGACATATGAATTTTGGGGCGGGACATTTGATTGGCATCAAACAAAAAGTACGTCTCATAATGGTGACCAAAAGTACAGGATTTCCAGGAGCCAACTTAAGCTAAGTGTGCAAAGACTTGAACGCTCCAGATGAGCATTTGGAGAGATTTGACAAGTTTACTTTGAACTCTTAAACAACTCACTGAAGAAGCAATGCAGTGGGGATCATGCTGTTGGTTGTGAGAGGACCTTCCAGGCAGAAGCCTGGCTTCTGGTAGGAGCGCAGGACAGACAGCGTCGAGATGGGGTCAGAGGTCAGGACAACCCAGTAGAAAGGTGGGGAGGGTCTCTGGTGTAGAAACGAAACTGTGGGTTCATCCTCAGTGCTGGGGAAGGGGCTCTGCACCCTTGAACACCGGGTTGGAGGGGCCAAAGTGAGCAGGGAGGGGGACAGCCTGGGCCCAGGTGAGGGGGACCTCAGGGAAGCCTCGGGGCCAAGTCGGAAGCAAAGCAGTGGGGTCCCCATGGGATGTGTCCTTCCACAGGTCAGGAGCTGCCCCCAGGAGGTTCCTGCCCTGCCTCCCCAGCCCAGCTCAGTCCCACGTGGCCACTGAGCTTGGGACAGGCCTGCAGCTGACGAAAAAGTGCTGGGAGCAAGAGACACACACACGGGATGTTGAAGACTTCACACAAAAAATAAGGGAAGAGGCTGGGCTGGGGCTCAGGGGGAGAGCACTTGCCTAGCACGTGCGAGGCACTGGATTTGATTCTCGACACCACAAAAAAATGAATAAATAAAATAAAGGTGTTGTGCCCAATTATAACTAAAAAAATATATATTAAAAAAAAATAAGGGAAGATATTTCCTGGATAATCTTGCCATGTTGGTCACATGTTGAAGTAATATTTTGGATACATATGCTTAAATAAAATGAAATATTAATTGAGATCAACTTTGCTTTTCTTTTAAAATATGACCATCTGAAAAGTAAAAACCACCGGGTGGCTGGCCTTGTCTCTTGGGGGGCAGCTGCAGCGAGCGCCATCAGCTCACACGAGCCTTCCCTGCATTCTCCTGCCAGACTTGTGCACAGCTCTGTGCTGGGGTCAGGGTGTGCGCTGGTCAGTGTGAGACACGTGGACACTGTGAGCAGGGAGACAGTCCCTGCCTGACAGCACCACGCAGCTCTGGTGAGACAGACCCGTGCTCATGGCGGGTGGGCCAGAGGGTTCTCATGGCCAGAGGAACGGCCTTTCCAGACAGGACTTGGGGCCCAGGGGTCCTGCACATCATCCATCTCCTCTCCTGTTGGATTCCACCACTCACCTCAGGGGACACGCTCCCCGCCAACCCACCACTCCAGTGAGTTGTCACATCGATGTGACAGGAAGGACCCCTGGAAAGGGCAGGTCTGCCCTGTGGTCCAGCCCAGGCTTTGAGGTTGGTGAGCCAGGGGGATGAATACCAACCCGGAACACATGCCAGGTCATGCTTATGCAGCAAGAAACAGTGGCCACAGCTTTTCTTCCAAGTTGCCCATGGATGGAGCCCCCCGGGCCATCCCTAGGGGTGAGGGACCCAGAAGGACAGGGACCATGGTTCTGTTTTCCTGTAGAAGAAGCGGAAGGACAGAGGCTGACTGCACATTCCGTTCACCAGAGCAGCCTCCAGGGTCGGGGAGCAGGTGCCGAGGCAGGAAGGGCCGTCCCAGGCCTGGTGATGGTGGTCTCGGGCTGGCCACTGGGCCCAGTGCCTCCTTGGAGGCTGTGTGCATGGATGAGAGGCCATGGAGGTTCAGACCAAGGTGTCTCCTAACTCCGGGGTGGCCATTCTATTTTGCTGGGAGCAGAAGTCTTTGTCCTGGGTGAGGTCACTTCCCTTTCCTACCTCTGCTCCAGGGTAGGAGGACCTTGTGGACCGGGGAGGGGGACCCGGTTTGACCTGTGGCTTGGCAGCTGAAGCCACCCAGCCCTGCTCATGGCAGGGTGTCGTTAGGGGGCAAGGCATCCTGAATCCCAGCACTGCCCCCTGCAAAAACTTGGCACAGCGTGTCCACCCACAGTGGGCTTCTGCTCTCCTGGCCCACAGGGTCACCAACACGGGGTCTCTGGTCTTCAGCTCTGGACACCACCTGCAGTCTCAGCTCAGGGGTGAGCAAGCCAGAGGGAGCTGTGTGAGGTGCTGTTCCTTGCTCAAGGACAGGCGGCCTCACAGGGTCTCCGAGAGGGCTGACTGGCTGCTGCAGGCACACCCAAGGCACAGAGCAGCGTCGATGCCGCATCCACAGCTGGTGTTGTCCTGCCGTCACACAATGGCGGGGAGGCAGCTGGAGAGGGTAGAGGTGCCCATGTGCTGGTGCCCAGTGAGTTCTATATAGCTGGTCACTTTCTTTCTGGGGTCCTCGCCTGTCTCCAAAGCCATGCCATCCATCACTAGGCCATGATGCACTTTTATGAGTGTTCCCATTTCCAGTCCCTGGCGGCCCTGTCGCCTCTTGTCCCTGTGCCACCTTGCTCTGTGCCACCTTGGCCCTGTGCCACTTTGCCCCTGTGCCACCTTGCTCGGTGGCCTCTCTGCAGGAGGGGGCTGCCCCTCCCTGTTTGTGCTCCCCGAGCCTGATGTGCAGAGGGGTGTCTGGTGCTGGCTCTAGGCCTCACCAGGTCCCACCAAGTGCCAGCTCCCAGCCTCCCATCCCTGGTCTGCCCAGCTCCTCCTCCAGGGTGTTCAGTGCCTGGCAGCACCTGGGCGGTATGAGTGTATGTTGGTGGCCGAGAAGCCCTGGATGACCTCAGGCAGCTGGAGGGCCCTGACCCTGCACCCAGCTCTGCTCAGCTGTTCCCTGGCTCTCTTGCTTCTGTTGTGCCAGGCAGACTGGGAGGCGCCATGGTCCCACGGGAGGCAGGTGGAGTAGCTGGTTCCTTGTGGAACCACTTACCTGGCATCTGCTGCATCCGGCCCCAGAGCTGACTTTGCATTCTGCCTTCAGGGAGCTCTACAGGCCTATAGGACAGTCTCCCTCCCTTTCCCCTCTGCCAGCGTCCCAGGTCCCATAGGACTCTGCAATGTCACTTAGGAGTGTGTGCTGTTTCATGACAACCTGCTTCTAGAACCAGACCCCACACAGAAAGCCTGGGATCCTTGTGGTGCACAGGGCTGAGGAATTCTGGCCGCCCTGCAGGGTTTCAGCACCCAGTTCCTTGCTTGCCTCTGCTGCTCCCCAGGTTCCTGTCTGTGACCTGGGTAAAATAGTGGCTCTGAGATGCAGGGCTGGGTGGGATGAGAGGAGCAAAGCTGGACACACTCACAGAACCCAGCCCAAGCACTACTGGAGGGCCACACTGGACTCCTTGAGCCCATCTCCTGCCCCTAACTTTGACCTCTTCATGAACAGCTTGGAGAGTCGTGGAGTCTCTGCATTGAAGCTGTCATCTGCAGCAGGTGTGGGTGGACACACAGGTCCATGTCCAGGACACCGTGGGCCCTGGGCTTGTGAGGTGCCCCTCCTAGCCCTGGGCCCTTGCTAAGCAAGTTGCTCTCTGTCCTGAAACACAACTCTGATGGTGACTCATGCGGCTATTTCTGAACACTCGGCATTCAGCTTT